CTTGGGTTGTTACCAACATCTGGTGAAAATTTCATGTCATTAGCACCTCTAGTAATATATTTACTGAGAAAAATGGTGACGTGTTCAACACTTATTTTACCCGCTGTAAGTTGAGTCAGTAATGAACTATGTAGCTATGTGGCCTCCTGGTAATGTCGACAAAAATTGTGGCTCCTTCCATCATTTAAGGTGCCCATCCCTGCTGAAGACAGTAACGTTTTGCACGTTTATTAAAAACTTGGCAGCTTTTTTAACCACATGTTAATCACTGAWATTGTTAGTTATTTGTGCTCCATGGCTTCTCCCAAACAGTATCTTATAATCTTTGGAGTTTGAAAACCAGATGTGTGATCTCTGACAGGAGCTCGGCTGGAGGACCGGCTGTACGASCGCCTGGAATGGAGCGCCCCTCCTCGGCCGCGGGCCCTCGAGGTTCTGGGAGACCAGACGACCCAGGCCGGGCTGGAGATGGGCTCCAACACTCCCTACGGTGAGTCGGCAGCTCCCCGCCTCCTCCGGGTCCTCCTCCTCTGAAGCAGGACGGGGGTTCAAATGTCCCGGTCTGTGTKCAGGAGCGGCGCTGATCAAGTTTGGGGAAACGCAGAAGCAGCTCGGAGAGGCAGAGAGGAAGTTTGTGAAAAGCACCGACATTCATTTCCTCACCCCTCTGCGAAACTTCACCGAGGGGGAGCACCGAGTCATCCAGGTAGAGCCACCGAGTCCAGCTGTCCTGTTGGTTCACTCGACTCTGAACTGTTTGTGTTCACTGTTAACAGAACGAGCAGAAGATGTTGCTGAACAAGCGTTTGGATTTGGATATAGCTAAGAGCAGACTGAGGAAAGCCCACGACGCTGACAGAGAGACCAGAGTGAGTTTTCTGTTCAAATGATAATCAGAGCRAAGATCTTCTGTCTTTCAGTGATTTAGTTCTGTTTGTTTCTGTAAGAACCTGAACGCAGCCCAGCTGGAAGACGACTACTTGTCTCACGTCTCCTACATGTTCAGCTTCCTGCGTGTTAAATGGCTGAAGGTCGGTGATTGTTAAACTCTGGTGGAAGTTAACGTCTGCTGTTTGAATCACTCATTTGTCCTTTTTTTCTGTTTTCCAACAGATGTGGGCTCAGGAAATCTGTCAGGTAAGAACACATTTTGTCTTTACTAACTGCAGTTGTCGTGTTCTTCCATTCTTTTTCACTTTTGTGTTTCCTCAAAATTGGACCGAATTATGTGGAAAATTGAGCAGCTCGTCATTTCAGAAACACATGGGGACAGGAAAGTACCGCCTTGCTCAACGTTATGTTTTTATGTGTCAGGATGATGATCAGCTGGTCTTTAACAGGTTCTGAAATGATTGAGTCTAACTTCAAGTGTGGAGAAAATACAACTGATTCCACTGTGTTATTACTTATTAAACAAAAAAATGAAGCCAAAACAGAAAAACTGAGTACAGCTCCTGATYCAGCAGCTTGAAGAAATTTWTTGGGGTTTAGGTTATATACTGATTWTTTTTTATTACATACACATGGTATAGTCTTATGAWAGAAGAACTGTAAAGATTGTTAAATGTGACTGTTTTACTTCACTTGATGATTTTATATAGATAGATACATGCCTGAAAACAAATTCAACACATAACTGAACTTTTAAATCTTCATTAGACTAGATTATGATTATCTGGAGACATGGCTCTGAGCAGCATAGGGATCCCTTACAGATGACGTAATCAAATAGGCGGAGCCTGTGTTAAATTCAATTGCMTTCCTGGTTTTTTGGTCTGAACACTTGGTCATTAAACCGGTCTTCAGCAGAGCGCTCTGGGTTTTGTATGATCTCTCTTTATTAATCTTTTCCAYTGGTACATTCTCCGTATGGTTCAAGCACACAAACTGGTAAACGAACACACATAACAATATTTTCTTTTAAGCAGATAGAATGTGCTTCAGCAGAAATAACTCTCAGTAGTTTTTATTTTTGAGCCGTTCTGTTGTAGATCAGCTGCTGTGTTTGGAATCACTGGGCCTCATKCAAGAACCGTTCRTACGCACAGGTTTGTTCTTAAGTTGTGCGTACGAGTGATTTAGGAGAATTTGTGGCATTCACCAATGTTTTCGTATTCTACGTTTTTTTTCAGATACGAACAAAATTCACGAGTGGTCCAGACCTGTCGTATATTTTACGTGAAGTCAGTCTGCTGTTATCCAGACGGGTTTTCTTCATTAATAACTTTATATTTCATTAATTTGAAGATATTTTGAGTTGAAAATAAATCACACTCCACAATTACGTTGACAATAGGCTATTCTGTTTGAACTGGAATTAGATTTTAAATGTAACTAACCACATAAATTGGTTTGATTAAATTACATTGACTATTAATGCTGTTGTATAACACTACAAAATTAATACGAAGATCTCAAACTAAAAAACAACTTAAATTATGCATTAATTGAAGTTTGGAGACATTTTAAAATGTTTTTTTTTTTCAGAACTGCATTGCGATGGTCGGGAGGGGGTAGCAGTGTGCGATTGCTCTTCTGAATACATGAAAACTATGTAACACAATTGTTTACACTTTAATTAAAAATATTTGACCAAAGGAAAACCATATGACTAGAGAGAGATAAATATGATTTAGATTTTTATTTCTGTGACTTTACAACCCACAGGAGACACGGCATTAACAGCAGTAGTTATTTCATTCCTCGGCTTTAGCAGCTCCTTTAATTCCACAGCTGACGCTGCTAAAAATCACTTTTTTTCTGGATCTCTGAGAGCAGGACTTCAATCTCCGAACTCGTAAAGTTCTTTTATTCTTTGCGATGTCATTTATGAATGGACACTTCCTGGTATGTGGGGCAGGAAACGTTACCTTATATGGTGTTTTTTGGGGTGATAATTATGCTAATCTCCTCTCCCCGTGCACGAGCAGCTGATACACATTCATGAGTTTACGCTCCTCATTTACACACGTTTCCTGAAGATAGAAGAGTTTGTTGAATCTGACGTGACATGTTCGTACGAACCCTTYRTAYGAACAAAAGTRAGAGAAATTTAGGATAAGAATACGAACATGTTCTTGCATGAGRCCYGTTGTTCTKTTGCATCAAGACCCGGTTTTGTCCAAGCTTCAGCTGTTGGACAGGTGGTCTCACATTTGTCTCTGATGGCCCTTTTCCACTAGCRCCTCTACAGCTCGGTTCGACTTGGCTCTCCACAGTTCCAGGGCTTTTCCACTAGCAAAGATTCGTGGAACCAGCCCTTTTTTCAGAACGTACATTGCTGTGTTTTCAAGCGTACCATGCTGGCCTGAAAACATGATGTCAGAAGACTGTTGGTCACTGATTGGTTAGGAGGTGGAGTCACTGGTTGCATCACAAGAGCTACTCTCACAACAACCTGATCCACCACTTGCTACAACACTACCGCGTCCTCCTTTTGTGTTGTATCTTTTCAAGGTCTTCTTCTACTTTGTTTATTGGTGGCTGGCGAGTGGAGCCACCACCTGTTTAGGCATGTGGCGTTAATTTTCAGACTCAAGGACCACCCAAGTTTACGATGAACCCACCCACTAGAGCTGTTACTGAAGTGTGATGGAAAACCAGCCGTAGAGGCACTGTTTGGAAAAGGAGCATAAAATAATTTGGTCTAYAGAGGAGCTCATGGCCGATTCAACATCAAGTTTTCCAAACCATCATCCCTCCACCACCGTGCTGACAGCTGGAATGAGATGTTTGTGCTGATGTGCAGCATTTGTTTTTTGTCTAATCAKRCTGCTGTGCATTATGGGTAAACATCTSTACTTATGTGTTCACTTGAGGTTAGATTAAATTATTCAAGGAACCTGATGAAGACCAGATTATTGTGATTCTGTCCTGATCTGTAAAACCCAAGAACTAAGAGGGTGGGCTTTGTTTTTCCCCTGTGCTGTGATAGTTCAGGTTCAGATTAAACCCCTGCAGCTCCTGTAATCTGTGGCGGTGATGATCAGCTCATATTTCCTTTCAGCACAATGACCACAAACTGTTTGCAAAACAAGAGWATGGAGTTTAATTAATATTTGTCTCAATCCCACTTTCATTAACAGTCAGTCGATTCTGTTTCTCCGCCTGATGCTGCTCAGTTTAGTATCTTCAGAACAGCAGCAGGATTTTATCTTCTTGGACTCACTTAGACCTCAGTTTGTCTGGCTAGTTAATCAGAAATATGTTTCTGCAGAGAAGTGTTTTCTGAAAGAAAAGAAATCATTTGGATTAATCATAAAGCTGTGTTTGTTTGTTTGTGTAGGCAGAGATGGAGCTGAGGATCTGTCAGAGTCTGTTTGATCGACAGTCAGAAATCACACGACGAGTTGTGGAAGGAATCAGCAGTACTCATGTATGTTAACACACAGAAGTGTTCACATTTATTACTTATGTACAAGTATAGATACTAGGATGGAAAAATACCTTTTTGGGAGTAGAAGTATCAACTCAAGCTGTTTACTCAAGTAAAAGTGTAAAAGTACTGGTTTTAAAACTGTAGTAAAATTAACGTAAAGAAAAAAACAAAAAATCATTAAGAATAAAAGAGCCACAGGGTCTGTAGCGCACAAACCCACCTCCAAAAAAAACATTTTTTAAAGGCAATGATGACTATAACATATAACAAAATGGTAATGCTGAAAAATATGGGATTCCCCAACAG